TGTATACAGGCTCCAAGAGGTGTCGTTGCCGTACCGCGTGCCACTACTCGATTAGTCGGCCACAGGATGCAATGGTTTGGATTTAGGAGCCCTCTCGGAGCCTTCTCCCATGTACAGAAACGCGCCACAGAAAATTTGAGTGGAACACAAGCAATGGCAAGGAGGTCAAACGAGATTATGTGCTCGGGTCGGAAGGCGATTCGCGAATGACCTCCTCAAAACGCGCTTTTTACAGCCAACAGCCTCGGTGTACATAATGATGTCGTTTTGCCTGCAGCTGCCTTTCACGAGTCGTTTCGCAGCTAAAGGAACCATGCAGCGCCATGATGCAATATCATTTGCAAGAGTGGAGACCGCAGCCGCTTCGTTTCGAAGGTCTCAAGGGTGGCAATGACAGCTTTATGCCCATCACGACGTGCGCAGTGCTTGGCACTCGATAACAATTTTGCTGCACCAATCTCAAGGGAAGCTATGCTACAGTTGGACGCGGAGACTCGGTAGAAGGTTGCAGCGCATATGGGCCTTTGTAATCGATGCCAACAAGCAGTTCTGGTGTAAAATCTCTCGTGTAGTGCGCGCTGGTTGGTGTAAGATGCCATCAAATGGCACAGGACGCGTCGGACGCTGCTACACGCGTAACTAGCACCGCGAGCACCGACTGCTGCTGGACGAGAGCATTTCCGTTGCCTTGTGACGCACCCACACTGCAGAATGCATGGCGCTGCTACTGAATAAGAGGTCGGCAAACACCGTGCTCGGTGTGGCGCTGCTGGCCGACACTTTAACGAACGGTCCGACAGCGGCAACCGAGAGGTTCTTGTTGCCCTTGGCGATCTGCCGCAACGTCTCGTCGAGTGTCGCGACTGTTTTTGTCATGACAAGGCAGTATCGTTGCTTGTCGAAAGAGTTGTGTTGTGGGTCCTGCACCGTCACAACTTGCTTGGTCATGTGGGTAGGGTTACTGGTTGGAATAGGCTTTGCACGGGCACCAACGGTCCATGCTCCTGGTGGTCGCAGCACTGGCGTGGGCGGTCCACATAATTTTTCCCGTAGGTACAGAACCTATTATCGCAGTCCCACGAGACCATCGTTTCGATTCGCGCCACCGCAGTTTCAACGGGATTTTCAAGATGCTTAAACGTGGTATAGTTGGCTATATGTGGCGTGTGCCAATATTAAGGGTTCTGAGCATTGCTCGTAAAAGACGTCGCCACCGAAGACGTAGTATAGCGCGTTGTGCTCCCCAAAGCCTGTTCTATCGCTCGGCCAACTTGTGGTGACATTTTATTTTTCTTCATCTGGCTCATCGCGCGGCCTCGCCGTCGGCTCTTGGCCCTCGGCGCCCGAAATTCTGAATGATACACGCTGTTTTTAACTCTGTTTCGATATTCTGTTTCAAAACAGAATATCGACAGAAGCCAATGCGCTGCCCGAGGGCCGGTACACTGTTCGTATATCCCTAGGGTCGGTACAACGGCGTCGTCGCCCTGCTGGCGACCGACAGAACCCGCGCGGTCGCTCGCTTGTGTGACGTTGCCGTCATGGGCTACGCTCTCCGAGCGGTCACGACGTGGCCAAGATCTGTCGATACCTCTGGCAGGAGCATACACGTCACGATAAGAACGTATTTACAGAGTCAAGTAATACGAGCGATGGAGATGTTGCGACCGAGTGCAGCAGAAAGGACGCGGACACTGAACATCGCGTCTGCCTCGTGCAACGTTCTCCATGTCTCCTACAACAAGATACCATGTCGGCTGGGGTGCAAAGGCATTCTAGAGAGCGCTGCACGACGAGCGGGTGATGCGATAGCACAAAAGCCGCGGGAAGAGAGCAGCCTCTTATCTTGGGCAATACACGCGTGAGTGGCGGCGGAGGCTTCATTGTTTACGAGTCCGCCAATATCGCGAGCTTGGCCGATGGCGACATCCGCGTCAGTAGCGCCAAATGCCTCAAGAAGCCTTCATCCCGACCTGGTCCATATCGCGCGCCGCACATGCTTTGCGCGCTCGCGATGACGCCGGAGACCTAAAAGTGCCGAAGGGGTCAAAAGCCATAGCGACACAGGTGCCTAGTCGCTCGCCTAGACAAAAGAGACGTGAACGAAGTCTGGTGCCGCGCGCCAAACGCCAACGAGCGCCGCGCCGACGCCGTCAGAAAGTGGCCCGCGCACATCTTGCATCTGTGCCGTGGTCCTTGGGCGCGCACCCTACGTTGATGACTGCCAAGTGCTAGAAGTTTCAGCTCTGGCTTAGATCGGATCGAGAGCGTCAAGCATCTTGGCATGGTGCCGCCAGCAGTACCGGGGCTGGCTGCTGTATTGCAGGGGTTCGAGGCAAAAGAAGGACCTCGGCCACATGAGTTTCACCGTCCGCAGTCGACAGGACGCCCGCTTGCGACCGCCCTGCCGTGCCGCGAGTGCGTAAGTCCAAGCAGAGTGCGTTACAAGCCTCTCATTCCCGTCGCTCGCTATGAAGTGATGGCTCTGGGCGTAGCAACTCTATGCATATTGCTAGGAAACATAACCTTGATCCAGTGGAAGAAGAGATCGTCGCTGCAAGTGCAGAAGACGCAGACTACGGTGTATCAACGTGGGCATTTGCTTATTGACGTTTTATGAGCGCTTTGTATTTGCAGCGGAACATTGCGCGCGCTGTACGACTGTAGCGGCGACGTTGCGTAGTCTGCTCCGCTCTTCAAAGTGACTTTTATCACTGTGCCAACTGTGGGCGATTCCATTTCAACCGTGATGTTGTTGGCAAGTGGCGTCGGCGTCGTGACGTCCTGGCACTAAGATGGCACTACGATCTTAGTTTAGTGCGTCGTGCCTCTCAGATGGCACTACGATCTCAGTTTGGCGCGCATCTTGGATCGCGTCTCGCCACCGCTGCACGCCTCGCACGTCAACGCGATCTCGCTTTTCGTACTCTCCCAAGCATCATCTACCACTCCGCCAAGTCCTGACGAATATGTTTTCAAACGTAAAGTGGTCGACGTTGCGATGGTTTGGATGAAGCGACGCCACGATAAAAACTGAAAAAGCGTCTCGCCAAGCTCGTCGTTGCTTACATGCTGTGAATCACAAACTCAGCGCTTTGATCCTGCCTACGGTACCGCGATCGGTCCTGTCTGCGCCCTTGCGGACACCGCCAGGTGGCATAAACAGCTGACACAGTTTGTATTGTCCAAACCAGTCGAAAGAGTGCATATAGCGATATTCTAACGGTGCAATTGTGCACTTGGTCTTCAAAGTCTCCGTAGTGGTTTCGCCGCCTCCTTCTCGTGGCAGTATAATTCAGAAATCTTCATCCGACCTTCCTACATGTTTTATTTGCAGGTCATATTAACACGAACCAGATACAGCAGCTGCGTCCAACATCTCTTCGCCATCATCTCTGCACAAAGCAGTCGAGATGTGACCCACGACAGTGGCCAAGCGAAAGGCGTGTTGATTCTTCCCAATGGAAAATGCATACAAGGGTCGATATGGACCAGATATCGATCAGCCAGTACACACTAGGCTTTTGGGAGTGAGCTAGATTTGGCTCGGGACCCCGTAGAAGCAATGCAGGAGCCTTGCATCTGCCCGACTTGGCACGGTAAATAGCAGCTTCACATCCATTTTGAGGCGAGATTTTCATTGAATCGTGGCAATACATGGCCACAGACGATGCCGAGAGTTGACATTGAGATTGATAAATCCCAGCCCAACACGACGGGGTACAAGGCGACCAACATGAGAAGATTGCACAATTATACGTTCTATGCGCTCCTTGTGACTCTACACATTTCTGGGCTGCTCAAACAGCCTACTAGGCGCTGAATACTCAAAAGAGTATTCAGCGCCCCTCTCAAAAGTCTGAAACTGTCACTCGTCGACCAACTGCGTTGTAACATCTGGCGGTGTCGACCCGTTCGCTGTCGACGAGGCGGCGTGAGATTGGGAATTGACGGATGCTGCCCACGTCGTGCGTGACCGAAGCTTCGGACGTTACTGAGCTATACCGCGATCTTGAGCGCAATGAAGCGATGGACGATGAAGCTGAAGTCGTCGACGCCACGAGCGACGAGGACGACCTTGGAGCGTGGACAATGTACAACCTACTCTGGCGCGGCCATGTCAACGTCGTCAAGACGCGGCTCGAGTCTGGGACGTTCACGGAAGTGGACTTTCTGACAGCGGAAGAGTGCTATTTTGCCATGCCGACCCTCGTACGTCCGATCTGTATCGGACGCCGTCGATTTTTTCATGCAACTGCATAGGGCAACAATGAGCCCTTTACATTTCTGGACACGGCCGCGTTCATGGGCCACGATGACATTGTCGGCCTCGCACTGGCACATACCGACTTTCGTCGTCTCAACAAGGTATCTTATCCGCCTCGTTGTCTTTTAGCTTGGCTCACCGCTTGGGCATAGTATGCGTCCAAGCCTCTTCTCTTGGGGGTCGTGGAAAAGCACAAGCGCGTCGTCCAGATCCTGCTTTCGTCGATCGCTGACGAAGTGGACCTCGGCGCTCTACGCGACGCTGTACGCAACAATTGCCGTTGGTGGAATCGCTCACCCAACGTAGCGTGGGAGCCCCATCGTACATTATGTTGCTGAACACGAGGCCAACGAGATTCTTGCGATGCTCTTGGCCCACGGCGCGCCGGTCGATGCCACGACAGAGGTATATCTACCACTCTAAAGCGGGGAATACCATGTTGTAGCGCTAGGGCGACGACGGCGAAACTGCGCTTCACATCGCGGCTCGTCAAGGCAATGCGCGCGGGGTCGAGCTACTGCTGCAAGCTGGCGCCAACGCCGACGCTCGGTCCAAGGTCCAACGCTCGTGCTTGGGACGTGTGTTGATGGACGCACCTATGTAGTCGGGCAAGACCCCGCTGGACCTTGCTGTTGAGGCGTCAAACGACAAGGACACAGCCAAGCAGGTGCTTGAGTTGCTCTTTCTGGCTGGCACCGAGGTCAACGTGCCAGACGAGGTGCGGTATCCTGCCGCCCGAGTGAACAGAGTCGTAATTACGTAGGCAATGACGCCACGAGATGGCGTTCGCGGTATGCTGGCGGTCGAATCAGCGTTTCGAACGAGCTTTCCGCTACACTGCATTGCACGCAACGGCGATGACACCGAGTTTGCAAGCTGGGTGCGTGACCAGTACGCAGCATCCCTGCCCTCGCCGCAGCAGTGGCAAGGCGAGTTCCGGAACGACGCAGACGACGAAGGGGAGCAGCCCTTTCAATGGAACGTTCAACTTGTGCCCGTGCCACACGAAGCGTGCTATCGCTTCGTGGGCAATGGTGTTGATGCCGATGGTCGACCGTTTGTCCTTGGCGGCCACTGGAGCGACGAAGGATTTTCTGCGGAAAAGAGGTATGAGTGCCGCCCGCCGGCTTACTTCCACGGCCACATGGACGCCAGCACGGGTGTTGTTTGCGGTTCGTGGACTTGCCTTCTATCGTGGGTCGGCTTGATGAAGGGCCGCTATACGTTCAAGCTCGACGTGCCGTGGCAGCTCTGTCCTGCATGCAACAGTGCGATGATGCCTCAAGCTACCACCAGCTGCGTCGGATGCCTCCCCGAAGGGTACAACTCGGACGTGTCCGAAGCCACAGCTGAGGACGAGCTCACTGGCCTCGAAGAGATTCAAGAGAGTATCGCGAGTGAAATGACGCGTCCAGACGAGGTCGTCTTGTGAGTATGACGCATCGTACTGAAACGTTCTGTGTAGTATGGTCGCACCGCTCTCATGTACGCAGCGAGAGAAGGCCACGCTTCGATCCTCCGCGCGCTCTTGTTTTACTGCGACGAAGACGCGTGCAGCCTCACCGACAAGGTACCCAAATTGTATGCGATGTCATGTAAAGCACGACGACCCTAGGATGGCAAGACGGCACTGGACTATGCGCTGCGTCGCAGGCTCGTATGCGCATCGAACGTCGAGTGCAAGAGCAACCACGGTACGCTAGCGTGCATTGCACTGCTGGAGCGCGCCGACACGGCCGACATGGAGCCGTCCCGAATCGTTGGTCACTGCATCATTTTGTTCGATGCTGCTAACACGACGATTGTTGTAGCCAGGCACGCTCGTGCACACGCGCCGCGGCGGCCAGTGCAATGGCGACTGCGTCGAGTCGCTGGATGAGATCAACTTGTCGGTGCTGGCCGGGCGAAACGAGTGGGGCCGCATTTCCGAGCTTCTCGCAACACCACTGTCCTTCGAGACGCTGCACAAACCGAACGACCGTGGCGTCTCTCTGTGGTATCACGCCCTCGCCAACGGCAAGTCGGATCTCGTGGCGCTGCTCGTCAAGCAACCCCACATTGACGTGCATGAGCCGTTCCCGGTACGTGTTTGGACATACCAAGTGCAATGTCATAGCCATTTCAATAGAACGGACAGTATCCTCTGTGCCTCGCGGCGGACTGGTGCCGCATCGAGTGCGTGCGCGTCCTCCTCGATGCCGGGGCTCACCCTCTACGACTCATCTCGCCCAAACACGCCGACTACGCAGAGTTTCGCAAGACGCCGCTCGCAATCATCCGAGACTCAGATGCGTTTCACCTGATCCACGCCAAGACCGACCTCCTGGAGCAGTATCCGCTCTACTACCTCGCGCGTGTTCAGAACTGCGCGCAAGCAGCTGCTTACGTCCAGGCACAGCAGTCGCCTATGCATGTCGCCATCTCGACGCAACTACCCATCTCGGTGCTGTCTGAGATCATCGACGAAAGTCCCCACGATGTCAATGCTCAAGACAAGGTATCTTTGGTACGCTTGCTGCGATTGAACCCTTTTCCGCTTGTTTATAGAATCAAGAGACACCGTTGATGGTTGCTTCAAAGATGGGCCTCGTCGACCATGTCGACGTGCTTGTCAACAACGAAGCCGGCGTCGACCTCACCAACAACGTTCGTAGCATCGTTAATTCCTTTGTAACTCATTCATGCCTTGGTAGCATGGCCAAAGCGCGCTCATGATGGCAGCAATGGGTGGCCACGTCGCCATCGTCGATCATCTCCTCGAGAATATGGCCGACATTGGCCTCCGTGACGCTGACAACAAGTCCGTGTTCGATATGCTCCAGTCGCACATCACGACGTACCTCGCGGGTCGTTCGTCCCACGAGCGCGTCAAGAGCCCGTATGTGCAGATCCAGGAAGCAATTGAGAAGGAGGTTCGCGACAGCAAGACGTCGATGCAGTACCGCGCCAAGCTCGCGGCGTCGCTCGCCGACTTGACGGCCAAGACGGCGTTTGACCGCAACGGTTTTGCCAAGGCCATCAACTGCGCGCCCGAGCTCGGTGTCACGTTTCTCAACGACTGCGTCACCATGGACCGCCACGACGTTCATTTCACCAAACTCGACCTTGTCTACGGCAAGCACGTCACGGGCAGTGCACTCCACGCGCTGCTCAACATGGAGACGGACGACCCAGATCTTATTTTCGAAGCCAAGTCCAAGTGCTTTGAGCACGTGACGATCCGCCGCATCCTCGAGATCAAGTGGGAGCTGTTTGGCCAGCGCAAGTTCCTCGAGATGCTCTTCATGTACCTCGTCCTGCTCGTGAGCATGACCGTCTCGGCGGTGCTCTTCCACGAGGATGACACGCGCCTTCACGCAACGAGCGTCGAGGTGCTTCTCGGTGCTCTTGTCGTCTCTTTGGCCGTTGTTGGCTGTGTTGCGGTGCAGGCGCTGCGCCCGCAGACGCTCTGGCGCCTCTCTCGGTACCACTATGATGGTAGTCTCGAATTTGATCCAGAGCTCGACATCCCGGACCTCGGGCGCCACAAGGCGGCGGCCAAGCGCTGGCTCAAGCTCGGTGTCTTGATTGGGACGCTGCTTCTCACTGGTCTCCTTGTCGGTCTCATGGTGGTGACGTCATCCATCTCATTCTTTCCAGTCGTCAACAACGTGGTATTGGCGGTCGCAGCTATCTACTTTGTTCTCAACGAGTACCACGAGGCCCACGGCGACCTCCACACGTACCTCGCGTCGACCATCAACGTCATCCAAGTGAGCATGTACATGCTGATTCTGGTCGTCTTCTTGCCCATGCAGCTCAACTGGTTCGACACGCCCGACCAGATTGAGATTGCAGTCGGGAGTGGCATCACACTCACGCTCTGGATTCTGAGTCTCCAGTTTCTCGAGGTTGAGGCGAGCGCGAGCTACCTCCTGCCGATGCTCTCGGGACTGCTCAAGGACCTATGGAACTTCTTCCTTTTCTTTGGCGTCTTCCAGATCGGAATCACAGTCACCTTCTTCCAGCTCTACAAGGCGACGGACAGCGACGACTTCAACTCGCTCAGCGGGTCGTTCTTGACGTCGTACTTTGTCGCGTTTGGCCAAGTGCCCACCGGTGCAATGGGCGCCTTCACCAATGACGACACCAAGTCGATCGACGGCTACGACTGGATCTTGTACGTCTTTGCGGTCGTCATGATCATGGCGCACTCGGCGGTCGTCGTTCTCTTCCTTCTCAACTTGCTTGTCGCCAACATGAACAAGACGGTGGACGGCGGTCTCGAGAAGGCCAAGACCGAGGCACTCGCAGCGTACGCGCAGTGCATTCTGCGACTCGAAGAGGCCATGAACTCCTCACCACAGGAGACGCAAGACCTCATCTACTTTATCCCGCCGACACCAACCTGCGATGGGAAGCTCAACCCGATCTTTACTGCGTCCATGCCCAAGTCGTACTACAGCATCACGCCTGAGGTCGAAGCTGCCATTGCTACGCACGAAGCGCAACAGACGTCGTGGATGGTGGTGACCAAGACGATCCAAGGCCAGGTGACGTCGGCGTTGACTGCATTTGAAGACGGGCTCCGCGACGTGGCGCATTTTACCGACGTGGACATTTCGGTTGTCTTTGCCAAGGAGCTGGCAGCCATTGAAGCTACTCGGTCGTCGCTGGACACCGTGTTTGTCTCGATGCACAAGAGCCGCGGGCAGCAAGACCAGAGGAAGCTGCTTGGTCGTTTCCAGAAGACGGTGGTGCGCGAGCTCACCGTCCTTAAACGACAACTCGATCAGGTCGGCGCCGTCGCGACCGTCGACACCGTCGCGAACGACGAGCACGCGCGCTGCGTCATCTTGTACAAGCTTACGCGACGTTCGTCGATAGCGAGCGATTTTGAGGTGCTCCAGGCGCATACAAGCGCTGTCTTTGACGACGCCGTGGCGAACGTTGCTGCTGTGGACGCTGACGCTGATGGCAAGGACTCGTCGAGTGCGCTCCTCACCGAGATGCAAGAGTTGATGGAGGCGCAGACCGCCTCAGCAAAGGCCGCGATGGCAGCCATGGAAGCGAAGAACGCCAAGACCATCCAAGATCTCAACGCCGAGCACGCAAAGATCAAGGACGAACACGCTGCGCTCATCGACGCCATGAAATTGGAGAACGCCGAGGCCATCGCGGTGATGCAGAGCCAGCTTCAAACGCTCTTGAGCGCTGTCCAGACGCTCGTGCCGGCAGCTTCGGACACGTAGGACGACTGATGCGCCTCCTTTGGTTGCCATTGTACGACGCACAATGTGTTTGCATTTTGAATTTTATACGTTTCCACAATTGTTTACTCTGTAATATTCGCTAGCCGAGAGTGTATAAACATAACTTGGAGACACTACATAGAAAAATGACAACAAAATCGTCTGCATTTGAATGGAGCATTATGGCAGAGGCAAAAACAAAAGTGTCAACACCAGCACGGGATACAGTAAGCTCCAGCATTATCGCGAGAGCTTAGCATGCGGGCTTGGCGCGGCGCGGGATCACAACCGAGTCGAAGAGCGTCGTCGTCTCACCGTTGGCGCGGAAGTGGATCGTGATCTTGTCATCGTCGGCAATCACACGCGACGCACCATAATACGAGTCAGTCATCGACTTGGACCACTCGGGGATCGGCGAGATCGCGCCTTGGTAGAGGCCGTGGCCGCCGGTGCCGACCGTGATGTACACCGGGGCGCCCTGCGTGATCTTGTTCTTGAAAATGGGCGCCGTGCGTTCGTAGCAGTGCACGTGGCCGGCCATGACGGCGTCGACGCCGTACTGGTAGTAGAGGTCCTCAAACTTGGCCTGGAGACTGCAGTGGGGCTCGTCGCGGACGTCGCCGAGCTTGCCGCCGGTGGCGGTCGAGTTCATGTAGTAGTTGCCCTTCCAGCACTCCTCGACGTCGTTGATTTCAAACTTGACCGACGAGCACTGGCACTGGTGGCGCACCCACGAGTTGTAGTACGGGTTGTGCTTGAAGACGATGAGGTACGGCGTCGTCTCGCGGTTAACGCTTGCGAGGTCCTTCTTGAGCCAGTCGAGCTGCTGGTTGCGGTGCGTGAACCAATACTCGGAGCCAATGTTGTTGTCGCCGAGGATACCCGTGTAGTCGTCGAGGAAGACAGCGTGGATGTTGCCAATGTTCTTCGAGTACCACGTGCGGTGGTCCTTGGTCGCGTCAGCCGAGATCGGCGTAACGATGCGGTTGATGTAGCCCGAGAACATTTCAGCCTTGCACTCAGGGCGGGTGTAAATGACACCATCGCCCTCAATGACCTCGTGGTTGCCCGTGATGCCAAGCAGCGGCACCTTGGAGAAGAGCGGCTGCGTCGCGTCGAGCCACGTGTCCCAGTCTTCGTGGCAGCCGTTAGCGTACGACCAGTCGCCGGCAATGATGACGGCGTCCGGCGTCGTGCCCTTGAGGTCACTGCCAAGGTTCGAGATCGTGTCCTGAATGTGCTCGATACCGACATCACCAACGACCGAGAGCACCGTGGGCTTGGACGCCGCGGGAATCGACTTGAAGGTGCCCGAGTAGTCGCCGACGGCGTACGAGTACTTGGCGTTGGCCTGGAGGTCGCAGAGCTTGGCCGAGTGAATGTTGGGCGACGTGTACGAGTAATTGGTTTCCTTGATCTCATACCGGTTGATGGTCGACGTCGCCGACTTGTCCGTGTTGCCAACACCGTACTTGACAGAAAGGGGGGTCGCCGAGTCGCTCGCAAAGGTCACGGTGACACCGTCCTTGCAGCCGACAGCTTCCGACGAGAGACCGACGTGGACCTGCGAGACTTTGGCGGCGGCCGACCCGAGAAGGGTCAGACCGGCGAGGCACTTGGAGAGCTGCATCGTTGAGGCAAAGGAGGCAAATTGGAATATGAAAGTTGCTGGCGTCGATCCGCGGCTTGGGTATGTTTTCGCTGCGGAAGGAGCCTACGACAAGAAGCATCTTGACGCTGCATCTGCGCACGAGACAGCGATCGAGGGCTAGCGTTGTGCACAGTGCATAGTACTCGTACTTGGGAGGGTTCCTGAGGAATCGCAAGCGTGGTCTTGGCGTCTTGAGTCCCACGGGGGTGGCGTAGACGATGATGATGATACTACCTAGCGTGCGAAGTGGTCGTATGGAAATGACTTTGCAGATTTCACAGTCTACTTTCGAGTATGCGTTGGAATCAAAGGAATCTGCGGTGCGGGTGTTGGGGGATCCGTCGGTTTCAACAGTAACACATGTTTGACGCCATATGGCGACCGGTGGATCGTGACGTCGTCGATCGTCGTGCCGCGTCAGATGGGTGTACCGACGAACAAGCAAAACAAACGCTCGACAAAGTGCATCTGATAGTGCGCGGTACTAGAGTGCGTCTCAGTGACATAATCAAGACACTCGAGCCATGTAAATGAGACGCGCGCAGATTCCATTGCACTGGCACCGCGCACAATGATGCTACTGCTGGAGATATTAGAGCAATAGACATCAAGACAACTTGTCCACACGTTGAAACTACATAGACTACCTATACTAAAGATTGCTTGCTTGTTCGTGATGACTTTGTCGTGTCGTGGTATGCTCCGCCACCAGCCTTCGAGCCTCTCGACGCCAAGTGAAGCTTTTTGGATCACCATTTTCCATGTTGATCCGCATGTAGTGCTGCTTTGAATCCGTCGGTTGCTCTAGCATTGCACTTCGTCTTTGACTCATTGACCCAGTAAAATCGACTTGGTATGTGTGGCACAAGTATAGTCTTAACAGCTTTACAACAGTAGAGACAAAGGGAGGCGCGATACACTAGATCTCCAGTTCCGTCCTTGCAGCTTAGCATGCGGGCTTGGCGCGGCGCGGGATCACAACCGAGTCGAAGAGCGTCGTCGTCTCACCGTTGGCGCGGAAGTGGATCGTGATCTT